GGTGAGAAAAACGCATTTTTATTTTAATCACAATTAATAAAATTAAAATAAAAATAAAAATAATAAATTATTTATTTAATCTCATTTATTATTAAATTTTAATAGAAATTAAACGAGAAATGTAAGGAATAAATAAAGAGACAACTTTTAATCGGCATTAAACAATCTACATAATTTTGCTAACAAGAGAAATAAAATCAGTGGCGCACATTTTTTTAGAAAAAATATTAAAGTGATAACCCATATATGCACGTCTCTGGTGAATATGTACTCAATAATATCACTCAAAATTTCATTCGAATCGCTAAAGGCACTTGGAAAAAAATTATAATAAATCGAAAAAAAAAATGAAGACTACCAACCAAAAAAAAATGAAGAAGAAAGAATGAAGAAAACAAAGAAGAAAGGAAGAAGAAAAAATGAAGACTACCAAACCAAACCCGCAGTAGGTACGAATCGGACCTATGTTAATATAAAAAATAAATCTTATTTTTACGGGAGGAATCTCCTCACGAGAAATAGCACATCTTTTTTGAAACGCCCTGTATAGATCATTCCATAAAATAACTACCTTTGCCTTTTTTGACGTTGTTTGTTTTCGAAGACGTATAGCTTGATGTAAAACAATCTTTGATCCTTTATATTTTGTTATTTACAGTAACATTATATTCGTATCCAATTTAGCATTTTAGTTTGGTAAAAAACGGCCCTTGTTTACGACATTTGATCTACAAAGGGTTGCTATTCGCACAGAGAGTTTAAAAATAACTTTTATTTATCAAGTTCACTTTAAAGGCTTGATGTTTCTCAATTTGTACGACTTGTGTGCGAAAAGTTTTGTTTATGTTTGACGAGGCGAACCGAAATTTATTAAGGGCGGTTTGTTAACATTAGCGGCCAGTATTAGGGGTTTAGGGGGGTATCAAGTTTCATATAAAAGGTAAAGTCGTTATGTGTGTGTCTTTGCCATTATTACTCGAGGCTCCCCTATGGGCGAGCGGTATCGACCTGTCTGTCGCGTCTTTTGCCGATGAATAGAATCAGAATGACGTCCTTTTTTACAATTTATTCCAGGAAACTAGTCAATATCACGAATACTGGCAACTGGCAACTACGAATTATAGCGGTATGGATAAAAGATAAAACCCGGCACAGGAGCATACCTATAGGCTATAGGTAACATTGTAATTTTCGAGCAGGTCATTTTGAGACAGGCTTTTTTATTCTTTTCGCGTTCTGAATGTTGAATTATCGCAGTTTGCCAGAACGAACGCGGAAATTTCATGTTTCCAAATCGATACAGGCAGAAATTACAGGGCGTTTCAAAAAAAATGTACCATCTCTCGGGGAGATTCCTCTCGTAAAAGTAAGATTAATTTTTCACAGGTCCGATTCTGCTTTGTTTCGTAGCTACAGTCTTCATCTTTTTTCAAAGATTTATTATAATTTTTAACTCATAGTAACTTTTACCTTCCAAATTTTACTCGAATCGCTAAAAGTACTTGGAAGAAAATTATAAAAATCGAAAAAAAATTAAGCCTTTAATCTCCTGTAGCCATTGGCGTAACTACCGGTGGGGACCGGGGGTGCCGGGCCTCCCCATGTACTGCTGGGTACCCCCCAGAGAAATCCTGAATTATGACTCTTGGCTACGTATTAATTTTTATTTGCTTGTGATGCAGTAAAAATGATGTTTTCTAGTTTTGTTTAGTTAATATTATTTTGTTGTGTTCAAAAAATGTGTTAATTTTTATTTTTTTAGAAAATTTGTAGGTATTTAAGTAATATACGGGAACACGGTTTGATAACCAAGTCTATGAAATTTATTGATAGAGAAATTCATGTAAACGTTTATTCAAAAAATTTGTTTTTTTAAATTATTTTTTATTTTTAAAAAAACAAAAGCCCTAGAACCCCCCTGGGCCCAGGCCCACCCCAGGATAAATTGCTGGTTACGCTAATGCCTGTAGCTACGAAACAAAGATGAATCGGACCCTTGTTGATATGAAAAATAAATCTTGTTTTTACGTGAGGAATCTCCCCACGACAGATGGCACATGTTTTTTTTAACACCCTGTATAAAGGGAACTTAAAACCTATAATGCGTGCTTTATACGGATGCCCGGCTTAGTCGCCAACATCCCATTTGATTAGATTTTCATTAAAAAAATCGATATTGTTTATATCGATCAAATATTAACCAAAGTAGTTATTTATGTTTACGAAATACGCTGATTCTTGTTCACAAGAAGCAATTAGAGCTTTTTAAAAGTACTTTAAAAGATCGTCCCAAGAGTGGTCTTCTCTTTAAAGACGCGATGATAAGGATATAGAAATGGGCCCTTAGAGAGAGATTTCTTTACGAATATGCATACAAAAAGAGAGGATCAACAGCTAGTATATTTTGGAACTCTAAAGAGGGGATTATTATTATAAAATACACTTATTGAAAATGTAATACAACTAATATTTAGTATTAATATAGTGGAAAAACACTGTAAACACTTAGTGTATCATTCTAATTGAAATAAAGGAAATAAAACGAGACAGTATATACAAAAGGATGCCCAAAAAGTTTATGAACTATACGGCGTTAGGGGATTAGAAATAAATATATCTTAGATATTATATCAGAATATGTTTAGCGGTGGTGTGTTCAAAGATCTTGATTATAAACATTTTTCACCATAATATTATATGATATCAACTTTCATCGGTCATTTTCAATAGCAAAACTAGGTCCAATCCATATGTTCCATGATTTACTAGGTTCTGTGATTAGTTATTAGCTCCAATATGAGAAAATTGGGTAGCACACCTAAATTTGGGTTTATCTGGAAGTCCATGATGAACTTTTCCAAATCCAACATAACTGGAAGGCCTTGCCCTTCGTCCATACCGCGTGTCGGTGACAAAAATATTATAGCCATACTCGAGACTCTGTATTACAAAGCAAAATCTAATAGAAAGCATCTACGATTTCACAAATAACTCAGCAGTCCTAAAAAATTTGGATATTAAAACTTGGAAAATTAGAAAAAGAAATGCATGTCAGACTTACCTCACAAATATTTAATACTGGAATAGGACTGCCCTAGGGGAATAGAAAGAAATATTTTTGGCCTGAAAAATAAAACAACATATTAGATATTAGCTAGTAGATGTGTAGCTAGGATATTCTTCTTATAACGTGATTGTGTTTGTAGGAAATAGTTTATGGTCAGATTTAATCCCGCTTCCCCTTCATTTTAAAATACGCATATCCCCACTACTTTTAGACAAATACTTTAAATATTGTTGGGATTTATTAATACCATAATTTATTCGCTTGCCTATTTTCCCGTGATTAAGATAATGACACACGCATACAATTTACAATCTGTAAACGTTCTTCTAAATCTCAAGTTTCATAACATCAAACTTAATTTACGTAAATGCACTGCCAAGTACAATTAAAACGTCTTATAGGTACCCTAATAATTTTGGAATTGGTACCCATAAAGTTTTGCCATCGCACAGATAAAAGGAGATATTTTGACAAAACTGCTCTTTGTGTCAGTGAGTTTCGGTTGGCTGTGTGATAAGATATGCCAGTGATTCTCTATTACTTTGCTGTTTAGTTGAAATATTTTATGGTAGAAACTACTGTTCTTGGATATACATATCAAGCCATAATTTTCGTGGCCATAATTTCTCGTTATTTCAGATATAAGGTAAGGTAAATTGAATAGGCATGTCCTCTGATTGTTTATAAGACTCCTAATTAATAAATTATGAGTTCCAGTTTAAAAAGTAACTTAAAAACTAACTTTCTAAAGTAATAATTGTACTTGGTTTACCGTTCTTTTGTTGTCGTTGAATTTGCAACCGATCCCTAATTTTATGTAAGGAATAATAAGTAAATAGTTTTTGTATGATACAATAGTTTATATTTATCACTGACTGACCGTTTAAATGAATAATACTGGTAATAGCTAACAATTTGTTGCGAATTTCTTATAAAACCGACTCTTAATAAAACTAAAGAACAATTATGATTATTGACAAATTTGACGTTATCTGATTACGGTCACGACCAATGGCATTAACTCTCTATATTTTTAGTTTTGCTAATCTATACCTATTGTCATGTTATTCTAACCTAACTTTATTGTGTATTAGTGAGGCGATCAGGCAATGAGTATTTAAGTAATTTTAAGTGATTTATTATTTTATGTACTTAATGTATGCAGCTTAAGGTAAATACTATTAATTATTTTGATGTTATAAAGGTATTATTAATTTTTATATTGTTTTTCGCGAATACGACACTTTTTTTCTAATTTGATGTCCCCCTTACCATTTTCTTACCTTTATTTTATTAATGTTCTTTTATATTTCAAGGAATAAATGCTTATGAACTGATTTTCTGAATAAAACATTCCCTTTTTTTATATGCAATAAAATTTTTTATTTATTGAGCGATAATTTTTAATATTTTATTTGTAACATTAAGCTAAACAAGTTCAGGTATTATACCAAGATAGGTACATTAAAAGGATAATATATCTATTTAGTATTTAGTATCTAAATAGTCCTTAATTATAAAAAGTTCCTATATATATTTTAATATTAAAGACTAAATTTTAAGTAGGTAATTTCTGTAAGTAGTAACTTGCGTATAAGGGACATTTTTTCTTTACTCAAGTGTCTACATATATGTATACATATTTATGCTATAAAGGTAATCATTGACGTCTTAAATGATGTCACTAAGAAAGATAAGTGCGTAAATAAATACTTTAGAAAAATACTGGAGTGGCTATAATAAAAGAGATACAGACATAAGGACGATTAGCATTATACTGCTGTGGTACTGTGCGTAAGACTGGGCTGTGATATCGATATAATTTAGGATAAGTTCTATATAATGTAAAAATATATTCTGTTCTTAATTTATATATGTTAGGATGTGTCTTGAGTCTAATCCTGTAGTCTAATTATAAAAAAAATTGTTTCAGAACTGCAGTAAGAAATGGCTACGATAGACGGCCGTCCCGCACAATATGGAATATCCTTAAAACAGCTCCGCGACCTCATGGAACATCGAGGTCGCGAAGGAATTCAGAAAGTGCATGAATTGGGAGGGGTACAAGAGATTTGTAAAAAACTTTACACATCCCCAAGCGAAGGTAATGGTTTGGCATTAAAAACTAACATTTTTAATTCAAATGTGTTTGTAAAAAAGAAGTCAATTAGTTATATATATTCCTGAGCAACTATTTGACTGTACTAACATTACATATACTTTTAATTTCAATATGTTAACTTTATATCTAAAATTTTAGGTCTTAGTGGGTCAAATGTAGATTTAGAACATAGAAGAGAAACCTTTGGTTCAAATTCAATACCCCCAAAGCCTCCAAAAACTTTTTTACAGTTAGTTTGGGAAGCTTTACAAGACATAACATTAATTATTTTAGAAGTAGCAGCCATAGTTTCTTTGGGACTTTCATTCTACCAGCCACAACAAGAAGAATCAGGTATTTAACATGCAAAGTCATATTCTTATGCTGTAATTTATCCATAACTTTTTGCTTGCAGAAAGTGGATTTGATGATGATGAAACAAGCCATGGATGGATTGAAGGTCTCGCAATTTTAATTTCAGTTATTGTAGTAGTATTAGTGACAGCGTTTAATGATTATACTAAAGAAAGACAATTTCGCGGTCTACAAAGTCGAATAGAAGGAGAACATAAGTTTTCAGTTATTAGGCAGGGTGAAGTAAAACAAATATCTGTCAGTGACATAGTTGTAGGAGATATCTGCCAAGTTAAATATGGTGATCTTTTGCCTGCTGACGGTATTCTTATTCAATCCAATGATCTTAAGGTATCCTCTTCAGTTTAACATTTTTTCGCCTTTTCAATTCCCATTATTTTCAGGTGGATGAATCTTCTCTTACTGGTGAATCAGATCATGTGAAAAAAGGTGAATCCTTTGATCCAATGGTCCTCTCAGGTACTCATGTAATGGAAGGTTCTGGAAAGATGTTGGTAACAGCAGTAGGCGTCAACTCACAAGCTGGTATCATCTTCACACTATTGGGTGCTGCAGTAGATCAACAGGAACAGGAAATCAAGAAAATGAAAAAAGGTATGTAGAAAATACCCCATTATGTGCGCATGTCACTGTTTGATTCGTGACCCCCCTGTAATTTCCCATCTGTAAGGGCTTTCCACTTGCAGAATAGTAGGGTTCTATTCCTTGGTTAATTTCTTTCCTTTCATTCATTTTTACATTTAGTAGAGTAATAGATTTATTTTTAATTCTTTTTAGAGTAATCTAATCACATCTACATTTTGAAAAGCATTTGACGCAATAGATAAGTTTTTATATTATTTTACGACTGGTTTATTACGTCAATTGTTTCATAGTATGCCTGAAAAGAGATATTTTTGAAGATTAAATTTATTTTCTATTTTTTTTTTAGTTAAAATGTACCACTTGTACTATTTCTGTAATAAGAGCACTTACAGGTGAAGCATTAAGGCGACATTTAATTGTATTACTGTTAGTTGCACATTATCTAAATGTCTGTAACATCAGAATAGAATGGTTGCGATATATTTACAATTTATTCTACCCCTGTCCTCTTTTTTCATAACATACATGTGTATTATTTTTTTTATCACATACAATGACAGAGTTGAAAATTGGATAGGGTTTAGGGATCACAGATATTTTTTTCGTTAATATTTTTACAGTAACTAACTATTTGTATTTTAATTTGGTCACATTTGAAATATTTTTACCCATCTCTTCGTTTACAGAGATATATACATGTATGTGATTTTTTTAGTATATTATTTTTACATATAGAAAATTGGCTATATAAGCCACCTACAGTTTATGAGAAATGAATCACCTAGATCAATCAATATTAAAAAAAATATATTTATAAATCTTTTTTTTTAAAGAATACATTTTTAATTTTTTTTTTGATAATTCATTTATCACCTCATGAACTGTAGGGCCCCCTTCACAGATTTTTTATATTTTACCCATGTCAGGACTTTGGGAGTGTTTTTGAGATTGCTAATGTTATCCTTTTGCATGTGTTTTTGTACAGAAGCTAAAAAGCAGCGGAAGAAGAAAAGTTTAACAGGTGAATAATTTTTTTACTTATTTATACATTACAGATTTAAAAACACCCATAAATAATTAAAAATTATTGTATTTAATTAACTAACAATTTAAAAAAAATTAAGTTTAAAATATTTTTCTAATTTTTGGAAATAACTTACCTGCATGCTCATTCTTATTTTATTTTTTTTTCCTTATTAAAATTTCTAAATATGTTTGTTAAGTGTTTTTTGTTGTTATGGATATAGGACGCCTTAATTTGGTTTTAAATTTTATCAATAAATGGACAAATTTGCTGCAAAAAGCTATTAAGTTTATTTATATATTATTTTTTATAGATAAAATTAAGTTTTTCTTCATATTTTCTAAAATACTTAAATTTTATTGTCAATGTATTTTATATAAAAAAGTGTTTTTATATATTTGTTTTGGTTCCAAACTAACGAAAACTTTACTTTTGTACATATTTAATTTAATTATTAATGCATTAAATTCATTAAGTATGGTTTGTGAACTTTTTTCTGTGGATAGACTTTTTTGTATATATGTTTACTGTAGTGTCTTCAGTGTCAGAGTTTATATAAATTCGGTTTTACAATATGAAGCAAAACACAAAACCAAAATTTCGGCGTCTTCAAGTTGCGTGATTTCAAACACTGACCAACGCGTTGAAATTAGGAGATGAAGAGAATGTGACTGGAAACAGTCACATGAATTCTCCAGCCCCTGTCTCTAACAAGCACGACGCCACTCAAGATGGTAAGGAGAATCACGTGAACAACGCTCCGCCCCCAGAATCCAGTCACAAGAAGGAAAAATCTGTCTTGCAAGCAAAATTGACCAAGCTTGCCATCCAGATTGGTTACGCAGGGTCCACGATCGCTGTACTCACCGTCATCATCCTCATCATCCAGTTCTGCGTGAGGACGTTTATGATCCAGAAATTGCCCTGGAAGAACACTTACGCCAGTCAGCTCGTTAACCATTTGATTATTGGTGTCACTGTTCTTGTAGTTGCTGTGCCTGAAGGTCTACCATTGGCTGTAACTCTCTCCTTAGCTTATAGTGTTAAGGTGAGATCTTCGAGACACCACCAATCTGTCTCCTTAAAATGACTTTTTTGCCTTCCAGAAAATGATGAAAGATAACAATTTAGTAAGACATTTAGACGCTTGTGAAACCATGGGTAACGCCACGGCCATCTGTTCCGATAAGACGGGTACTTTGACCACTAACCGCATGACCGTCGTTCAATCCTACATTTGCGAACAACTCTGCAAAACTATCCCGAAGTTCAGCGACATTCCCGCTCACGTCGGCAATTTGATCATACAGGGTATTGCTGTAAACTGCGCATATACATCGCGCATCATGGTAAACACACATCCCCTACATAACCTAGATCATATAAGTATACATGGATACCATTTACAGCTCTCCTAACCATGTTGCCAACATAGTAGACTATAAAATTGATCTGTAATGTTTTCATATTCAATTGAAAAGGTGTAGGAAAGGTGTTCATGTTATCTCATATGGTGTAGGGCATTTAGAGCTGTTTAACTGACGGCTGAATTTGGTTTTAGCCTTCCGAGGACCCAAGCGAATTGCCCAAACAAGTGGGCAACAAAACCGAATGCGCTTTGTTAGGTTTTACATTGAATCTGAACAAGAACTATCAAAACATTCGTGATGACTATCCCGAAGAATCATTTACGAGAGTGTATACTTTTAATTCTGTTAGAAAGTCGATGAGCACTGTTATTCCTCGCCGCGAAGGCGGGTTTAGATTATATACCAAGGGTGCTTCTGAAATCATTTTAAACCGGTAATAAATCGCCTTTAATATACAACGTATCTCGAAGTGCGTGTATCAAACAGTACTGCCTGGTAATGTTTGGTTCACCCATTTCTGGACTTGCATATTTGGATTATATAATTTTGTAAATAATTGTAATTCTAGGTGTGCCTTTATTTATGGTCATGATGGCCGTTTGGAGAAATTCACTCGCGACATGCAAGAGCGGTTGTTGAAGCAGGTTATCGAGCCAATGGCCTGCGACGGCCTTCGAACAATATGCATAGCATACAAAGAATTTGTTCCTGGTAAAGCTGAGATCAATCAAGTTCACATTGACAATGAACCAAACTGGGACGACGAAGAAAACATCGTCAGCAATCTGACCTGTCTCTGCGTGGTGGGTATCGAAGATCCTGTCCGTCCCGAAGTACCCGACGCCATCAGGAAATGCCAGAAGGCTGGCATCACCGTCAGGATGGTCACTGGTGATAACATCAACACCGCCAGATCTATAGCCACCAAATGCGGCATAGTGAAACCAAATGAGGACTTTCTTATTCTCGAAGGCAAAGAGTTTAATATGCGAATTAGGGATGGTTCTGGAGAGGTACAATTCGTACATTTCCCGTCGGGTTTCCTCTACTCGTTTTTGTGTTACAGGTTCAACAACATTTGTTGGATAAAGTTTGGCCTAAATTGAGAGTTCTGGCTCGATCATCACCAACTGACAAGTACATTCTAGTTAAAGGTATCATCGATAGTACCGCTAGTGAAAATAGGGAAGTTGTAGCCGTTACTGGCGATGGTACTAATGACGGGCCAGCTTTGAAAAAAGCTGATGTTGGTTTCGCGATGGTAAAGATTTTTAAGCTTTATTTTCTTTGATTTATTAAACAATATCCTTGCTATTTATTAGGGAATTGCTGGAACTGATGTGGCGAAAGAAGCCTCTGACATCATCCTCACTGATGACAATTTTAGTAGTATCGTAAAAGCTGTAATGTGGGGCAGAAATGTCTACGACAGTATAGCTAAATTCTTACAGTTCCAACTTACCGTTAATGTTGTTGCTGTTATCGTTGCGTTTATTGGTGCTTGCGCTGTTCAAGACAGTCCTCTGAAGGTATCAGATGATTCTCTCATAGTTTTTGAAAATTCAACTAACAAGTTTTTCTTTATAGGCTGTGCAAATGTTGTGGGTGAATTTAATTATGGACACCTTGGCTTCCTTGGCGTTAGCCACTGAGTTGCCTACACATGATTTATTGCTGAGGAAACCCTATGGAAGAACCAAGCCTTTAATCTCCAGAACGATGATGAAGAATATTCTTGGACAAGCTGTTTATCAATTGACTATTATCTTTTCTTTGTTGTTTGTTGGTATGTTGCAGAGTTATAGTAGGGCATTTGAGGTCTTATCCTTTGTTGTTATTATTTTAGGCGACAAAATACTTGATATTGAATCAGGAAGAGGTGCTGCTATTGGTTCAGGACCGTCCCAACATTTTACTATTATATTCAACTCCTTTGTAATGATGACCTTGTTCAATGAGTTTAATGCTAGGAAAATTCATGGGCAGAGAAATATTTTTGAAGGAATATTTACTAATCCTATCTTTTACACTATTTGGATTGGGACTACAGCCGCGCAGGTAATGATTTTTTTGTGATCTTTGTTTATTTTATCTCATGATTATTTCAAATATATTTTTTTTAATTTACAGGTTGTGATTATTCAGTATGGTGGAGTAGCTTTCGCTACAAAAGCTCTTACTCTGGAACAATGGTTCTGGTGTTTATTCTTCGGTATCGGCACTCTTTTATGGGGCCAACTTGTTACCACTATTCCTACACGTAAATTACCGAAAATTTTATCGTAAGTACCTGATGAAAAAACGTTCCTTCTCTTTATTGTTAAGAAGAACTCGATTTTTAATGAAATATTAAGAAAAAAATATTTAATGCATGATGATTTGATTTTAAACAGATGAACTTTAACGGTGACGAAGACGTAATTAACCAGAAGTAATGATACAGCTTGTGATATTCAAAATTTTGATGTAATTTTAAATAAAAGTTTGTAATAAAGCTTGTTGAATGGAGTGTTAAATTCTTTAAAAAAAAGACATGCGCATTTTTGTGATGGATATGTTTACATTTATATTTTATTTATTTAGTTGGGGTCGTGGTCATCCTGAAGAATACACCGAAGCCATTGCTATTGGCGAGGAAAAATTCGATGTGGATTCAGATAAGAAACCACGCGCAGGTCAAATTTTGTGGATCAGAGGCCTTACGAGGCTACAGACTCAGGTAAGTCATTCTGAGTGTAGACTATATAAAGAATTCTGTAAAGACGTTATGTATTCCCGACCAGTTACCTTATTTCTTGTTTAAGTTAAAGAAATAAGGTATCTAGTTCTCAGATGAATAGGTTAGAGGCTCTAGCACAGTGATTTTGATAGTTATTTGACAGTAGCAAGCCTCTGACTTATACTAGTGTAATGATATGAAATGTGTGACTGATTTTTGGAACAGAGCTCATAATTATAGGGTTTCCATAGGCAAAAAAAAAATGATCAAGTTCAGTTAAGGTCCTCCCATCTGTCTCATCCTTGTTTTCCTATACCACTTCTCTTTTTAGACTTATTTGACCAGCATGATTGCTGCTTAACAGTTGACATTGCGTGTCGCAATATTATTAATCACTTATTTTGGGTGGTCAACGCTTAAGAGAAAGAAATCAGGGAACTTTTTACACTAAATATCGGTTGGGGAACTGTTATGTTTGTCTTAGGACAACTTTTTGTTTTGTTGTCCACCCAAGACTTACCTGTTTGCTTTTAGTTGTCAGTGTATTTTTGTAGAACTCCTATTTTAATGTTTGTCAAATAGAATTAACATAATGCCTTGCAGGTGCAATATAACATTTTTATTTTCGTAGTCAGACAGTCAAAAAGAAAATAATTATCAGTATGTAGGTCAGCAGTGGATCTACTCTCCTTGCAGACATTTTAATTTTGTTTTGAATTCCAAGAGAGTTGGTGATACTTTAAATTATAATGCATATCCTTTAGTTTTTTCACCCTAACTCTCTTTTAGGTTTTAAATTATTTCTTTAGCTAACCAAATTCTGTCTTAGCCCCATAACCTAATATCTAGACTTTTTGATGCTACTTATCCAGAAATTGGTGTTATGGGGCTATTATGCATGCATAGATTATCACAAAACAAGCTGTCAGTAACCCAGTCACTAGAATAGCCCGGCTAACGAATTATCATCTTACTTAGTGCATGTTTTATCTAACAAACATCCAGGATATAGTATATAAACCTTTTTAACACTACTACTATTATTTTTAAACGAAGAGAAAACATATTTCGATTTTTTTGGTAAGACTACAAACCGCAGTAGTGTAGAAAAAGGTGTCATATTTTTAAACAATCCCCTGATTGAACGATACCTATGGCTGTGTTGTCTGAGGTAGCACTGTTTTTTTTATACACGAGTCTAATCGATGACGAAAGTTTCTGTCTTTGTATCACTCTTTCTTGCTGCTTTATTTTGTTTTTCGTTTGTTTGTCCTTACTTGTGAAGGGTACTGTTAGTTGTACCTTATTTTTGTACAAACAACAAAAAGGTTTAACACAAATTAGTGCAAGTAGGAATTTTAGAATTAAAACCAGTAAACACCATAGTCTCTTCAGTAGAGGTTTGTCCCAGCTGCAATAATCTTAGGGTACAAAGTTTCTACTGTAAGGTTTACTGATTTATGGAATACACGTTTTAAGAAGTTATTTCTGGAGATGCCACTTTAGAAGTCGACCTAGAGAGACGTTTTTATCCTTATTTAGACATAATACTGTATTAGTAAACCTATCTTGAATACCGATTCTTTTTAACGCAAAACTCCACTGATTTACTGGTCTAGGGAGATATCTACTTTAACAAAAATTTCTCTAATTACCAAAAATTATATGACGACTCCAGAAGTACATTTCCGGGGGGAGATGTGCCTTGGAGCCATTGCATCATTTTTGTTAGTTCGGCTAATTTGTGGTAAAGTATGGAGGAAACAACATAAACAGATTTTTTAAGTGAAATAGAATATATATTTAATGCACAGTATGAATTATGTTTAAATATGGATGAAAATGATATCAAAACAACTCGGACGCACTTTGTGCCAAGTGGTTCACATATATAATCGAAGTTTTTTGTACGTTTGATAGCCAGCTGAACCAATGAAAGAAACTGAGGTATAGGGAACCGTTGGGTGCCTCAAGCCAAATTCAGCCACACAAAACAAGTATGTAGTTTGTAGTAGGCCTTCTTTTAGATGAGATGCGATACCTTGCTCTTTTGCACCCTATATCATGTTAGATGTTTTTTAGAGCAAACCTTCCTGGATGTGTCTTGTCGCCCCCCTTCCCCTGTACCTCATTTAGAGTAGTGGTACCGTGGTCTATGTATCTTTCTATACCAGTTTTCTACCAGTAAACCAAACCGAAACCATTCGCGTGCTACCGACAACACAGCCTATTACTTTATGTTTGTTACAACATTTCGAGCTTTTTCATGAACTCACAGTAAGATATTTCACCAACAGTACCAATTAAATTCATTATTTTTACCATAAGAGTTCATGGAAAATCTTTTACCGAAAAATGTTAGGTACGTCGAATGAATGGTGGTGTGATCTTAGTCGATAGAGGAATAATAAATTAACTCCCCCTAGAAGCCGCTTCTGATACTAACGGGTGGAAGAGTCTTAACAAATGGAAAAATCCAGCTTTGTCTTGAGGTATTAGTTTCCTGTAAATGTATGTTAGAGTATGCCCTATTCTTGCTCTATCTCTAATCTCTCTCTGTTCTATCTTTTGATTTTCTTCTTATTTGGTTTGAGACTAGAGGATCCTGGGAACTGTAAATAACAAACATAACCATTTTTAACAAAAAAAAACACATTGCATTATACTATTCTAAAATCTTTAAAGTAACCACCTTTCTGATACGTTTTTGCACATTCTTGATTTCATCAAGTTTTTATCAATATTTTTTCGTCAGGTTTATTCAGTTGTTTCAGTTAATTATGATTTAATTTTGTATATAATGTGTCTACTTCTTGTTAGATTTAGTTTTTATCAGTACAAATAGTGCGAGATCCGACTGTAAAACTTTGCGTGTATCTAATATATTGGTGAAATGTATTTTGAATAAAACATTATTAATAACATAGTAATAGTAATATCCAGCACTACTAAATTTTGCCGTATTTTTTTTAAATAAGTACCATATTACTTAATAATTTTTAATTTGTGATATATTTCATCAAAAGGAAATAGGTAACATGCATAATTTTTAGCCAGATCTTGGACTATACAAGGGGTTTAAATTATCACCAGCTTCTCCAAGAGGAGACTGTATTTACTGCTATTATTCATACGTCTTATGGAACCAAATTTCTTGAGACAGAAACCAAACAGTTTACTTTTGTTTTTCTAAAGTGCCCTTGTACTAAAGTGTGAATAATAGAGTGAGCCGATTTTTTATCTAACCTTGGTTTTTTGATTAACATATTAGAAAAGTGCTTTTTAATTATCAAAACATCAAGGTCTGTGTGATGTGTGAACTAGTGTGAATGTTGAATTATGATGGAAGCTGAGTTAACTCGAAAATTTGTGACTTTTTGAGTGTGGACATTAACTAAAGCTGCTGACATACACCACAACTCAAATCTAGAAATATTTTTAAAACCAAATAATAATGCATATCCAGCTAATATATTTATATTCTCTGAATTATATGTAAGTTTACATAGCTTATATAGTCAAAATCTGGTAAAATGAGAATTTTTTGTTATATAAATTTACTATACCTTTCTTTTTAATTGGAAGTAATTATTTTTTCGTCTGTCTGAAAAAAAAAATTTTTGAGTGGTGGTAGATGTCAGGGTGGACAGAGTTCTGGCACAGCTTATTCAACACCAGCTGACTATCTTGTGACGGCTTAGTCTGTCCTGTGAAAGCATACATAATTCTTATAAATGAAGAAACTACACTAGAGCGTTAATAATCCGAAAGACTAAGAATTATCACTTTACTACACTGACTTGTACTTGATTCCTACTTATCATAGAATTAAATGACATTATAAATATGATTTTTATTTGGTAAATTAGGAATTAAAAGTACAACCTACTGTAATTTTTAATGAAAATATCAGATAATTGTCACTAATGTCATATATTCTTTTACTGGGCAGACTATATGACTATTACTGTAGAAAATGAAAATAAATCGAGATAAGCTGCTGATAATTGAGTAAGGTGTAGTTACGGCCTGGCCGCCCGTGCGTGGGAGCGTGTGCACGGCCGAACGCGAGCATGCATTCCCGGCCCGCCTGATGAGACCCTGCTTCCCTGTGTTTGCAGCTGCGAGTAATCAGAGCTTTCAAGTCCACCCTGGAGGACCTAGAGGAGCGGCGCTCGGTACATAGTTTACACAGCTTACACAGTTTGCGCAGTTCGCGCAGCCACACCGGCCCATGGCCTCCGCGGCCGCTCTCAGACATCACTTACATTGACGAAGACCCGGCGCACCCGGCTCAGCGCCCCAAGGACGACCAGCGACCCGCGCCTTCCCCCAACACCCTGCGCCTACCCATCCACCACGCGCAGTACGCGAGCCCCGCCCCCGCGGATTTGCCTAAGCCCGTGCATGAGACGCGCATCTAGTGCTGTCGGTCCTGGCCGCAGCGTGCCAGCGCGCATCAGCGGCCCGAGCGCCGCCGTCTGCGCGCGCACTCCCTTAACACCTCCACTTGGTGAACGCACAGTGATAACGCGCGCGATGCCTACTTGCCGATTTCATTAACTGGGCCACCCACAACTCGATTTCTCCGATCACAACCAGTAACTGCCATTACTACTCTTACTTACGCCTTTTTTAAACACATTTATACGACATTTGTTCACTAGAACTGTACATTTATAACTGAATTATTTTTTTACTTAAATCAATTTATTATAATTCAGTGATATTAATTGTTAAAGTACAGTGTATACAGGATGGTACTTATTAATTACTCCTTGCCTAGTTGTAATGCTTATTAATATAATTATTTTATTTCGTATTAAATAAACCAAACTTGTACATGTATGTGAAAACGTTTTATTTTTACCTCTATATTATTTACTTTTATTTGCTATTGTTATAATCTTATTTTTATAATTTTTATCGACTCTATATCTGTATAGGTTTTATCAAATAATATATACATATGTGTTTACTAGAATATTATGTTATTGAAT